GAGGTTAGATGTTGGATGGCTATTTTATGGCTATAGATGTGTAGGATGGTTGGTTAAATGGCTATAGATGTGTAGGATGGTTGGTTAAAAGGGTATAGATGTGTAGGATGGTTGGTTGAAAGGCTATAGATGTGTAGGATGGTTGGTTGAATGGCTATAGATGTGCAGGATGGTTGGTTGGATGGTATAGATGTGTAGGATAGGGTATAGATGCAGGATGGTTGAAAGTTTGTATGGCTATGATGTGTAGGATGGTTGGTTAAAAGGGTATAGATGTGTAGGATGGTTGGTTGTAAGGGTATAGATGTGTAGGATGGTTGGTTAAAAGGGTATAGATGTGCAGGATGGTTGGTTGAATGGCTATATGTGTAGGGGATGGTTAAAAAGGGTATAGTTAGGATGGTTGGTTATGGCTATAGATGTGTAGGATGGTTGGTTGAAAGGGTATAGATGTGTAGAATGGTTGGTTGAAAGGGTATAGATGTGTAGGATGGTTGGTTGAATGGGTATAGATGTGTAGAATGGTTGGTTGAAAGGGTATAGATGTGTAGGATGGTTGGTTGAAAGGATATAGATGTGTAGGATGGTTGGTTGAAAGGGTATAGATGTGTAGGATGGTTGGTTGAAAGGGTATAGATGTGTAGGATGGTTGGTTGAAAGGGTATAGATGTGTAGGATGGTTGGTTGAAAGGGTATAGATGTGTAGGATGGTTGGTTGAAAGGGTATAGATGTGTAGAATGGTTGGTTGAAAGGGTATAGATGTGTAGGATGGTTGGTTGAAAGGGTATAGATGTGTAGGATGGTTGGTTAAAAGTGTATAGATGTGTTGGATGGTTGGTTTATGTCTATAGATGTGTACAATGGTTGGTTGAATTGGTATAGATGTGTAGGATGGTTGGTTGAATGGCTATAGATGTGTAGGATGGTTGGTTAAAAGGGTATAGATGTATAAGATGGATGGTTGAAAGGATATAGATGTGTAGGATGGTTGGTTGAAAGGGTATAGATGTATAAGATGGATGGTTGAAAGGATATAGATGTGTAGGATGATTGGTTGAATACATGTAGTTATGTAGGATGGTTGGATCACCATCATCTCACACACTAATGATCACTCAGTGAATGGCAACTGCCTCCAAATATAAACAAAAAAAACCCATGTCATTCTTTAATATTCAGTTTATTCCATGGAGTGTCATCAATATATACAAAAATAAACTTAAATACATGATTGTGTATGCTTACACCAGTCTATATACAAATATCACATGTGCTTCACACAACGGTAACACAGACACCATTCATACTTCATACATAACACTGAATGGGAAACATCAAGTGAGAGTGAAATTTCTGTATGTCTTCCCATGTGCATATCACAGCTAGTCACGCATCTTGAAGTCCTTCAAAGTAGAGGGTTGTTGGGAAATGTTTGGCAGTCCCAATATCAGACAAAGTCTGTTGAAAGGGACCAAGAACCTCAGAATATGTCACAATATAGCCTGTGTTAATACACATCCCAAAACTACCAAACTGATTGTAAATACCAAACATGCCCCGTTTATCAAACATGCTTGAAACCCTTTATCAATCTTAATGAGCTTGAATGGACATTAACTATACTTCTTAATGTTTTTACACCTATTTTACATGAAGATTGTATGCAGTGACCAAGCGACAATCAATCAATCATAATCGAACAATGGAACTACTGTTTTAGATATTCATGGAACATTAATATGAAAACATTTTATAATGTTCTTACTGAAATCATATTACAGTCATAGTTCATGATATATGTGTCAAACATTTGATGCAACAACAACCTGGATAGGAAAACTGAAAAATGGACAGCTAACCAAAGTTATGGTTGTCTTGAAGTAAAAGCTTTGGCCCTGCATAGTTCTTTATTCACTGTCATAGTTGTGCTGAATCTCTATAGCGGGCAATATCTTCATTGGTCCATTTAACTTAAAACAATGGTCTTTGACTGTGCTTGTATTTACATTTACATTCTCACTGTGTCTGCCAATATGAAATACAGTCATCCCTCGCAATAATGCTTTTTCGCGATACTGTGATTACACATATTCACTTCATTGGGAATAGCATATTACCAAGTCAGCTGTTGTACTCAAATTAATTGTGCTGTAAACTAGCTGTGCTATATTTTCTGTCTTGTGAAAGTCAGCATGATATTAGATTTGGCCACTGCTTCTCAAGTGAATTTTATGCAATTCCTCATCAAGAGGAAGAATATGAGGACATCCCATTACAGATATTGTCAAAGTGACCTTTCATCTGACCTGTCAGCAATCACTTACCTCAACAGGAAAATGACAGTTGGAATGTGTTTTCTGAACATGCAGCCTCAATCAGATATATTCTCAACAACAGTTTTCATCTGTACAACTGATTGCCTCAATGGAGGAAAATTGAATAGACTTTCATAGCCCATGGAAAGTACTGCTACACAATCTGGCCATCCAGTAGACATTTCAGTTTTCAAATTCTGAATCAGCACTTTTCAAAGCGTAGTCTGGAATGGAAGTCACCACTTTGAAACTAGTCCTGTTAGCTCAAGAAAGCTGCATTTTGATTGGCTAACGTCAACTTCTTGTCAGTCATTATAAGGTTGTTGCAAGTTTGAAAAGGTCGTTCAGGCAGGACCTGTAAAGGGATGTCCTTAGATCTTAGATATCGCTCAGATCTGATTAATTATTTTAGTTTAATCAAGTTAGCAGACACGGAAAAATTGAGTTATTTGGAGCTCAACTAAAAAAAAGTACTAGAATTTGTACTTTACTAAGAAAGTGTAATCCCAAAAATAACATGTTACGTTGTTTGACACAGTTGACACTGAACTATGACAAATCATCCCTCACAATGATGAAGACACCTAAAAGAATCCCACTGTCATATTGCCAAGGTTATATTAACATGTAGTTTCCAAAATATTAACATAAGAAGAAGTTTGGGCATCTTATATGGAAACATAACTACTGAATCCTTCTCTGAAAGTTTATGCAATAATTATCGCATGATTTTGGAGGTGTATTTTCCAGATGTCAAAATTTGGGGTAAGAAGGCCTAATCAGGCACTTCACATGAGGCATCTAGAAAATATACCAAGAAAAGGCATGCTGTCTTAACCACATGTACTTGTGAAAGGATCCGCAGCAAATCCTGCAGTAAATACTTGGGCATATCTGAATAATACTTCTGGGAACAATATACTGGAAGCTGCAAGTATTGGAAGATATTACCAGACTGGTAATTCTTTATGAGTTTGGCAATTGTGTTATTCTGTTTGATTCACAGGTATCAAATAATGATATTCACCTTTGGTTGAGATAGCTTATTTCACAGCTGTATCACTACAGAAGTTAACCTTTATAGGAAAGTACTTCTTTTCTGTCCTTGTCTCATTTCTTCATAATTATATGTACAAATATAAATTACAAAACAAAAGTAGTTTGAGAATAAGTGTGCAGAAACAACAATAGAAATCAAACTACAGTGGGCATTCTGAGTTTTAGAGAGAAAGCGTTGATTTAGCATTTTTCATGTTTACGTGCTCAGTTCTAAATTAAACTGATGTATGTAATCTGGATTGAGACAAGTACAGGTGGTATGTCTACTAACTAGAAATAAAGCATATAGTCATGCTGGCAACAAATTCAGTTTAATAAATGTAAGACTAGACCAATTATATTTTTGTTTTACTGATCCTCAGGTCATATTTTTTCAAGAATAAGAAAAGCAATAAAAATTAATTTTCCCCGCTCAAAAAATAAAATCGTCATGTTTTTATTGACCCCCAAAATTGTTTTGACTGTTTTTGCCCCATATACACTTCATAAATTGCAAAAAATAAAATACTTCTATTAATTAAAAGGAATATTACATTGTCTGGTGATTTTTATTTTTCTCCTCCTGCCTTTAGGTTTTCTGAGGACAAAAATCCGTAAAACAAGAAATAAAATTGGTCTGGCCTAAGGATGAAAGTTTCTCCTATTCAAAAATAATTCCATCTTGAAGCATAAAATACATTTCTTGCAAAAAAAACCTCAGTTTCAACAATACAAGCATCTAAACCCACCAAACTCAAAATGGACAAATCATATTCAAGGTCACTTGCTGCAGTTGACAGAGCTTGAATGAACATTCCGACAATGCCTGACAATGTACATTTATGGTAATGAGATATCTGAAATCATTGGTCCCCTGGTTATTATATAACCATCCATAAATTCAGATATTAAAGTCTGAATTGAAAAAAAAGGAAAAACATCCAATCAAGTTGTTATACTTGCCATTTTACAAACCTTTCAAGTCCTGATTAATACCAACAGTAGAATACAGAAAACCCAGCTTTCTGTCTCACACACATAAAACAAATTCAGTATGATACCATTTGTTCTTGTCAATTTCATATTAAATATCACCAAGACTGCCATAAAAAGTGCATAGATCAAATAGATCAGAATAAGGCTGAAGAAGACTGACTGAGTTTGGTTTTACGCCACTTTTAGCAATATTCCAGCAACATCACGGCGGGGGACACCAGAAATGGGCTTCACACATTGTGCCCATGTGGGGATTCGAACCTGGGTCTTCGGCGTGACGAGCCACCGCTTTAACCATTAGGCTACCCCACCGCCCCGGCTGAAGAAGAAAAGGTAACTGTTTCTGGGAAGCTGAGGTTGATCTGCCATTTACTGTGACACACTCCACATTGCGCCCTAGGTATGTGGGCACACAAAACTAACATTCTGAAAGAAGAGAGAGCACCTTTCATCGTTTTGGCTAAGGAAATAAGTTCCATATTTAAGTTTTAAATACTTACACAACCAGACCAAAAAAACCATTCATCTTTTTGATGGTTGTTTGATGGTGATGTATTCGATATTGGTGTTAAATAGTTTTGGCTTCAGCAACAACTTTCAGCCTTATCACATTTGGATAATGTTTCTAATTTGATTCTGGAATCATTTTGATTGATACATTTTGTACCTCAGAAATAAATCAGAATGGTCCATTTCATCCTTCGCACATGTCTGCACAGAAATGACTAGCTAGTAATGAGACTATATTAAATCTCTATAAAGCATTGGAAAGACAGAGATGTAATCAGGCGTTAAACCTGTATTTAACTGCAAATGTATTGTTTATGAAATTCTCATAAATTTTGGGAAGATTTCATGTCAAACCATATGACCTACAACATACTCATGTCACCAGTAACTCGGTATTCTTCGTATATTTAAAAAATATGGAAAACTCTTTGGAAGAATGGAAAGAGATGAGAACCCTTCCCTACGGACACGATAATGTTTGTTGCCTGGCTTGTAGAGATATCAAATTAACTTTGATCAACACTTGGGTGGAGGACTGCTGTATAACTCCTTATGTATTTTATACAGATCTTCTGGTTTGTAGTTGTGGCCAGTAACTGCTGACTTAAAGTCACATCCAGTTGGTTTCCTGCGCATAAACGTAAAGCCACCGTCATGATACTGATGAACGCCTGCTTTACGTGCACACAATCCGGTAATATAGATGTCTTCAAGCCAAAACAGCTTTATTTGCTGCGAGGCTGCATACAAGTCTGGAACTGCCTTCACAGACATGGAATACGAAGTTCCTGACGTATAACGAGGATAGGTCTTCTCATCGAATTCATTCAGTGGTGTATACCATTTAGATCTCTTGTCTTGAACAGGTCTGGCACCAACAAATATAAATCCAAGAATAAATTTTTCTTCCTTTCTTTTCCTTAAAGATGTTAATAAGTTTGGAACATTTATATACATATCATCATCAGCTTTTAGTAAGTACTTTGCTGAAATGCAATATGTTTTCACCCATTTCAGCATAGCAACAGATTTTAAACTTAAGTTCCTGTAGCTATCATGGAAGTTTTCTTGCACAATATCTCGATATGTTTTGCTCTCATTTAGAAGATTCTTCTGCATATCCATGGAATCTGTTGCACCTAACAAAAACACAACTTTCGTTTTATGTACAGGGTCTTTAACATATGTTCCCCATGTTTCTCGAATTGCTTGTCTTTCTTTGACGTTCTTCACGCCCGTGCACACAACAATGATTAGTTCAGGGGCTTCTTTACACATGTCAGCTTCATTAACCAGGTATGGAAAGTTGTGAGGATTCACAATTTGGATTGTTGATTTTGTGGAAGTATCAATTTTGACTGTGATGTTTTTCTTGCCCTTTGTCTCACTCTCTAACACTGAAGCTGTGGATGTTTTGTTCTGGGAATCATTGTCGGTGGAACTCTGTTGTAACGTTCGAGAGCTTTGGATCTTTGACTGTATCCTTGGTACGGAGCTTGCGTTGTCAGCTACGATCACCACTGGGTTGTATCCGTTGAGCCGGAGCACAAAGATGAGGCCGTTCACCAAGAGACACAGGAAAAATATGGCCGCCAACAACTGTCCAAAGCGAGACATCTTCACCATGTGGGACCAGCTTAGGGCCCTGTAGAAAGAAATGAATCATTACAGAATCTGAAAGTTTGACATTCATAGTAGTGAGTGAGTAAGTTTGGTTTTACGTTACTTTTAGCAATATTCCAGCAATATCACGGTGGGGGACACCAGAAATAAGTTTCACACATTGTACCCATGTGGGGAATTGAACCCGGTGTAGCAGGCCATTTCTTCCCCGGTCTAAACTTTCCCTGGAGAGGTTTTGTCCTAAGCCATTCTTATCCCTGGGAAAGTTTTGCGGTTAAGATATTCTTACCCCGGGAAAGTTTGGAACATTAAAAGGATATTATCAATGTGTTCGACGTGAATAGCTATGTCTTGCTTTTAGCTTCTGACTTCTTCCACCCTTGTTCTTATAGGTTGGGGGGGAAATAGCCTAGCTATTTTTCCCCACCTTGCTTTATATCAAAAGGGGAGATTCTGGCCTAGCTAACCTACTTCTCCCTTTTGATATAAGAACAAGGGTTTGAAACAAGTAGCCTTTAAAGTTGATTTTTGTCCTGAAAGGGAAACCAGGGGAAAGTTTGGCCTGTTACACGGGTCATTGGCGTGACAAGCGAACGCTTTAATCACTAGTCTACCACACGCCCTTTCATAGTTAAAGTGATTGATACAATACAGGACAATTAATGGAACACCTAATCATCAAAATAAGGCACAGGGGCTTAGTCCTGCCTGGGGCCAATGATCATGCCATATTATCAGATTCAATAAACACAACATATAATCAATAAGATTCAATAACATATTTATAAAATATATATAATGTAAAATGCTTTGCTAAAAGATCGAAGCTCTCATAAAATATATCATCTTGTATCACACATAGCAAGCACACTGTCATTTTATAGGAAAACACCATCATCCTTTTGGTATGAAAATAATCCCATTCAATTTCCTATATGAGTACAGTGTGTGAAGAACATTTAAGGTGTTGTGATATCACTGGAATATTGTTAAAAGTGGTGAAAAAACCATATTCACCCCTACACTCAAACATATGAAAAAATGCACAGGAAAAACGACTGAAGCTCTCATAAAATATATCACCCACATAAAATAGATTTTGATTTAAAGAAAACTATTATTTGACAGTTGAAGTACTAAGTTGGAAAGCTGCCTACTGGCATGAAGATAGTGACTTTATGAAACTGAACATGTATATACACAGAGATTACAAAACTTGTGGATGTTGACTATGGAAAATATTCCAACTCAATATTTTTAAACATTTTGACTTATTCACGAGCGAAACGAGTTTTGTGATCTATTCATTAAACACAGGACGGGAAAACAGTGAGATTCATGACAAATCAAGCAGACGATGATGCATGAAAACAAAATGAAAGGGAGATAACTCTCTCCCGACTACTTTATAGATGAAAATAAACAATTAAAAATTCAGTTGAAAAATATCACTAATCCCCAGGACACCAAAATTGAATTTTAATTATCCACAAACCAAATGTTTTGTTTGGTTGACATGTTTGGTTAAAAACTGCTTGAATAGAGTTATAATGTTAATTTAAAATACCGAGGTGACAACAGAAAGTTCGGCATAATGACTTTCGATTTCCATGCATTGGTCTTATGTCACAGAAACTTTGTGATTACGAAATTGATGTAACGGAAAATTCACTCATTGTCACAGGTAATTCCCAATCACAAAATGGAGTAGACAGGGTATGATTCGTTCAATCTGGACAGTAAATCGGATTTGGATGTGTCTTTGAACATATCTGAAACATCACCGCCATTGAAACATTACCATGTCCTGCAAGGAGCCCCGATATCAACCCCATGAAACATTCATTCTATGAGGAATGACAAAGGATTCCAATGCTGAGAATTCGACGCTTGATTGGCAGTATGAGGAGGAGACTGGCAGATGTTATCCGTGTGAGGGTGGAAATAACTTTAACTTTTGGGGGGTGCTAGTGTATAGCGGTGTACAGAATTTTGGTACTGACATGTTTTTGTGTGAGCGAGTTGGTGATGTGGTTTTGTCTGGGACGATTCTGATCACTATTTCCAACCAGGTATTTGTATTTGAACCACGTGAGAAATAACTGGCGACCGTGTGATCTTGAAATGTCAGGTCCGACTGGATATAAAATAGGAACGTGGTAGTAGTTTTTAACATTGGAAAAAGTCATACTGGATGGCAACGGTAAGTGATTCCTACTGTCGGGGTATACTCATGTGTCAAATCGTGTTTCACAAAAGAAACTTGACCCGTATTTAGAAATAGATTTCCATGGACACGGCGTCACGGAAATTAAATGTTTGACGTACAAAGGTATTTATTTCCACCCTATGTTACTTCATTGATTTTGAGGCGTACATAACGCCTGTACGCCCCTTATCTGTAGCCCTGCCAGGTGTTGACTTGATCACCGATTCACTGTCCAGATTGGACGAATCATACCCGTCTACTCCATTTTGTGATTGGGAATTACCTGTGACAAAGGCTTATCTGGAGCTCTGATACAGGATTCAAACCACAGACTTTCTTGTCCGAAATAATCATATGACTTGTCCACATGATAAAAGAGTTTAACCATCAACAAGACCAAAAGGTAAGGATGACATCTATGGGATGACTCTATGCCCTACTACATATTCCCACGTCAACTTCAACATAACTGCATAATCCACTCTTAAATTAGAGAAAATAACATCTTAATGCCATTCATATTCAAATCACACTCAAATCCACACAAAAATCTAAGCATCCACTGGGAATGTTTTCCCATGCCTTAGGCAAAAGTGTAAAAGGTAAACCAACAAAGAGGAACTGCCTCAAACACATTTATAAACCCATGAATGGTTGATCCACGTGCTGTTGTTGGAAAACTCCAGGAACTATTCCTGCTAGGCACTTCATAGAGGGACTGTGGTCATGGAACTGTCAAACAGGCTCCTGTTTGGATAGTAAATAATACATGCATTCTTCAAGAAACATGACCTTTTATCAATATTATGCCACTGTTCCCATCTCTTCAACTGGCAATTCCGGACATAAATCGGGCCTTGTTTTACCAAGGCAGATCCCAGTAATTCCCCTGGTAATTCTCCCACCTGGCATTCAGCGACAGCGCATCAAAGAGGGGGGTAAAGAGGGAATGACAAAACTGCACAACAATATCTCAGACTTCATCGGTATCCATGATGGCTGTGAAGGGTGTCATGGCTCTTTCAATGGCTGCATCATATTACTGGGTGCTACAGATGCCAATTGATGAAAATAGAAGACCATTTTCAGACCACATCCCTGAGCTACTAAACTTGTTAAATAGATGGAATGGGGAATGGGTGTTAGTAGCCCTAAAATGTTAATGATTTGAGTGAGTGAGTGAGTGAGTGAGTGAGTGAGTGAGTGAGTGAGTGGGTTTGGTTTTACGCAGCTTTTAGCAATATTCCAGCAATATCACGGTCGGGGGACACCAGAAATGGGGAAGAGAGTTTTTATGGATGTCATTTTCTTTATTATGAGGGACACAATGTTTCAGAGTATATCCTTACTCCTTCATTCACCTGCCATTTAAAGACTTGGTGACTTCACCCTTGACTGCTTGTCAAATAAATCACGTATTTGACATGCCCACATCAGCTAACTGTGCTACACATGAATAATGAATTGTTGATGTGTCGCACAACAAATATAACATGCTCACAAACCATTTTTTCCAAAATGTCTCAACATGCCCTTGGCCAGGGCTATACAATAAATGTGCCACACGGATGTGTGTGACACTTTATGGCAACACTGTTGCCATGACAACCATGTGAGGCAGTCATCTGGTCATGAAAGATTTGAGTTTTCAAGTTGAAGTCCTGACCTGAATCTCAATTAACAGACCAAAATGAGTATCACAGCATGATTCAATGGTAGGACACACGTTTCATCCGGGACATTCTAAATTAAAATATATAAAAACCGGACATCTGAAAAAGCAGCTGATGAGTCCAATGCCATGAATGTAGTTTCATGCAAAAATGATGATTACTTGGGTACAATGTGTGAAGGCCATTTCTGGTGTCCCCGACCGTGATATTGCTGGAATATTGCATAAAACCATACTCACACTTCAATTGTTAAGCCATTTTGCACTAATGTCACCAAAACAAGTTATGGAGCATGTTTTACACTTACTTGTGACTCTGATGATTGTTTGTGGATATAAAATGCCAAGGATTAGTGTTCAGTGAAAGAACTAAGCAGTGTGCACTAAACACAATTTTACCTGACAGAAGCACATATACTCATGGAAATGATTAAGGGAACACATAAAAGTACAAGTGTTCCTTTATTGATTTCCAGATTGTCACCCACAGTACAATACATACCTTGTGAAGAAACCTGGAAAAGAATAAAGGAACACTTGTACTTTTATGTGTTCCCTTATTCGTTTACATGAGCATATTACTATTTATCATGTTACCATGGTGATACGATGAGGGTAAACTAAGCACAACAGCTTTAATTAAGAATGACAGTTACAAAATTTAGGTAGGGTTGAGAAGCGTAGACACAATACAATAACGAGAGGATTAACAATTAGCATGCTCTTCTGGGGAACAGCCAATTAATAGGAATTGAGTGATAACTTGTCATGCATGTTCAGGGCAATGTGGTAATTAGCCTTTTGAATAAAATGTTCAATGAGACAAAAGTTGGCATAACAATAGCAGCTGGGAGACTGGGGGACCACAGGGTACCATTTACTCCAGGTGCATATGGGGTTTAATGCTGTGTTTTGTAGCAATGTGCATGGATGCAATATGTGTGTGTGTGCCAGTGTGAATGTGTGTGTGTGAGAGTGTGAATGTGAATATATGTGTGAATATGTGTGAATGTGGCCGTGGCTGGTTGTGAATGTGAGTGGCTGGTGCAGTGAGTGAGTGAGTGAGTGGCTGGTTGTGAATGTGAATGGCTGGTGCAGTGAGTGAGTGAGTGTGTGTGCGTGTCTGTGTGTGTGTGTGTGTGTGTGTTTGTTTGTTTTTGCTGTGTGAGAGCAGATGTTAGTGTATGTGTGGTAAAAGTCCCTGAATATATATAATTTTGATAGTAACAAATAAACCCATTTAAATTGAAAAGGAGCCCCAGCGAGTTTTGAGATTCAGGGGAAATCTACACTTGCTTCATTTAGGGCTTTAGCATTGCAGGGAGGGCAAGGCAGTAGGGAATATTATGTGGTTCAGGGCTTGTGAGACAGACGATGTGTATGGTTGAGACTGACTACGAGGCTATGAGTGAGTGTTGCTGTGTGTGAGTATTTATGTGTCTGTGTGTATGGCTATTTTTACTATGTTGGTTTTATAGCTGTCTGCACACTGAGATACCATCCCACAGTTTTACACGGACAACCTACTCACACCTGACACTGAGCCGACCAGATTTTGTTTTGTTTTGGTTTGACATGGCTGGAGTTACAACCATGGATCTTGTGCTCTCTGGGCAGACCCTCCATTCAACAGACCACAGGGGCCATCTTGTAATGTACAAAGTTTGACTTCTTGGATTTCATCGAGCCTTGTTACATTCCATTTCAGTATCCTGAGATTTATTTCCATGCATTATTATCTAACTGTGCATTAAGCATGCTTGTAAATTAATTTTACAGATTATTTCCGCAAAAGCAATTAATCTGTACTCCCATTTTAATCAATCCCAAAAGACTGTATAGCAAAGCTAATACAACCAAATATTTGTTAAAGGTCACATGCAACCAAAAAATCAAACATAATTAAAACACAATTATCACTTATTCATGACATATAATATACATTGCTGGTTATGAAAAAAACATATAAACAAAATTATAAGCGTACAATCGCAAATCAAAAGTGCAATATTGTGTACTTGGGTTTACTTCCCAAGAAACGAAGCAGATGGGATACCGAACCCAGTCAGAGCGGGTAGGTGTGCACTCGGGTTGTAACGGCGGGTTCATTTGCAGATGCCCTCACAGCTCATTGTGTGTGTATATATATAGAGATGTTGGGTTTTGTAAATACATGCTCATTTTTTGTGTATAACATTTTGCAATCAACAGACATCATAACATGTCATGTGTTCAAGTATCACACCTGCCTGTCTGTGTAATTACATAATGTGACAGAGACCGAACTCGGGCCATAAATCAATGTGTTTTGTTTATGGTGTATAGCCTGATAGGTGTTAAGTTCAAATTGCATGTGGTCAGTGATAGCAGCTGTGTATTGAATATTGTCATTAGCAGACAGGCAAGCAGACACACAGGTGTCAATAAAACAAGACATTGAGTTTTGTCTGTGACAACGACATATCTATATCACAGTTAGAAATTCTGTCAACGCTAAATAATGACATTGCTTTTAAGTATCAAACTGAGAAAGTGACTCGGTAAGAAGAACGTGTGGTGAAATAGACAAATGAAATTATATAAACAGTTAATTTACTGTCATAACATATAAAAAGCTCGCGCCTGTGAGATATCAACAAAACATTAGAAAAATAGCTCACACCAAAGCCTTCACCGAGTATTCACCGGACAACCCGCTTCCAAGCTGCGCAAACCTATTTTACTGCGCAAGTGCTATGAGCGCAGCCCAGCTGTTGAAACCAGTTTTCCCCCGAAAAGTCGGGGGAAAGTCAGTGAAACGTTTGAACTCCGATTTCGCTTTTTTTCCTTTTTGTTTCATCGCGTTATTTTTCAACTTTATAAGTTGAATTTGCATTTTTGACGATTTGTTTCGGTAAGTCTATACCGAAAGGTATCAGAATCTGCAAAGTTGTGTTTTACGTTGCATGTGACCTTAAAACAACGCAAATTTAAAATATATAACAAAACTATAAGAAAACAATATACCATTGGAAAACAAATGTGACTCGCACAATAACCTGTATTTTGTTCGAGCGACCTTTTCTGTGATATTTGACTGATATCAGTGACCTGTGACTGCTCAATAAATATTGTGCATTGAATAAACAGCATATGTCATTCATTCTCACAGCATGGTACACCCAGGGATTTACCTAGAATCCTGTGTTTGAGGGTCCCTTTGCCTCATACTCTTAATTTTCAGGGGTTCTGGACTACAAATGGGGGTCCCAGACACTTAGATACTATTATTAATAATGTTATTGTATTGTGTATCATGATCATCACATTAATTGTTACAGTAATTAAATTGCAAATGATACCATCACCCAGCTAGTAGCAAACTCAGTGATAACTTATTGTTACTTGATTGGAACTTTCACAAAAAGTATTTTGCCTTTTTCTGCGTCCCCGTGGAAGTGCTAATAAATTTCATTGCATCCATTGTCAATTTTTATGTGCATAGGACGCAGGAATTTGCATCCTGTAAATCCCTGTATACCGGTATATGAATAGCAACATCCTCACTGTATAGCTCTGAATATATAAACAGATTGCTTGCAAGAACATGTATGAAAAACTGTCAAACATTTGTCTTATAGCACTGGACCCTGAATCTATTCATTGGTGAATGAGTGGGTTATCTTGAGCTTTTTATGAAAGAGGTAATTTGCTTGTATGATGTCAATAAGAAAGCCCCCCTCCATCTTACCCATGCGTATATCAGGTACTTGAGGGAAGACCTCACTGTGTCTATAAGTAGAGTGCCATCAACTTCACTGTGGGGTACCAACAATGAGTGTATACATTGTCCCTAGACTGGCTCCAAGGCTGTACTGAATGACAAACCCATGGCTGTGTAGTAATTCTATCCTTGTAATATGCAAGTATAGAAAACAGGACAATGCAGTCTATTGATGTCTTGATAGCAACTAGTGGTCCAGTTAATTGAAATAATCGAAGATTGGTCACAATGACTAAACGACCAAGCAATCGATCATGTATTCTCATAATCGAACATAAACAATTTTGGAACACTTGTTTGCATTAACATTTTTCACAAGGTTGCTTTTGTATGTTACACAGCATAAGCACTACAAGCTGGTTTCCATTGAATTTATCTTGAAGACTCCAGGAAATTTATGTTCCTAACATACTAGTCATCATTTAAAGATGTGACATTTGTACATGCATTTTGTGGAATTTGCCAAAAAATACCCGAAAGAACATGTTTTTTCTATATTTTTTTTGTGCATTAACAAACATAACCAGGAGAATTTGATAAATGACGCTAAGCAATTATTTTTAATGATTGATCAGTTGTAATGAACCAATCATCAATTGTGAGATTTTAACCAATTCCCACCACTAATAGCAACAACTGTGTTTTTAAGATCAATATAATTTGTGATTTATATTAAAACTAATAATTATTTCTTTAGGGATTTGTGCAAGTATATTTGTCCCATGAAGAACAAGTTAGGAGGCAGGGCTGAACTTTGAATGGAATCAGTATGACTCAATATGAGTTAACGAAAATAGAATTAGTTCACCTAGAAAAATAATTCTTTTATCAGACTTACCCCTTGGTGTCTGTGTGCTTCAGTGTGTCCATCATAGCAATCGTGATCATCTTTATTTATATATAGTGCGTCTATTCATTCACACTTCCTGTCATGAGCCCATAAAAGTATGGCAGTTGTTTTATACGACAGTTCAACACAGATGACAGTCAAGTTCATGAATTATATTTTTAAAATATCCTCCTTGATTTGTTTCACATCTCAATGTATGAAATATTACCTGTTGCAGCAGATTGTGAGGTTTTAAGTCAGTATTTCAGTGATATGCAAGTTTTACGACATATAAATCATCCCTTGAGTTCTCACACCCAGGAAGCATGGTGTAATGTTTGTACACAACCATTGCTTGGTTAGGCCTGTTAGCTTTAGGCAGGGCAGCGTAACATGTTGCTATTTTCAACAGCACAAGCAAATACAACCAGTCCAGGGCATAGATCACATTCTCTTGTTGTTTAGACTGAGCTAAACAAACCACACTCAGTGTTCAGTCTGAGAGACCGAAATGAAATTCAGAATGTAAACGTAGAAAAGGCTGTTCAAATTGATCCCTGTACAAATACTGGCACCGACACGCTGGCAAGGCTCTGTAACTGAGATTCACAACCACTTATGCACTGCATTTGATACTCTGTCATGTGATTGACACATTTGACACATTCGCTCAACGTCTAATAACGGAAAATGGTGTCAGGGTCACAGATAAGCTGCAATATCCTCATCCATCATGGCTGTCTGCCACTAATTATAGAAGAAAATGGTGACATACAGATATATTTTCAAAACATCAGCACAAACGTTCTGTTTCCATATATTATGTTTTCATATGCTAGTGGGTAACAGCAAAAGCTGTTCTGGGTTATGTCATCATGAGTTGTGTCCCTTGTTGATTCATGGGGTAACATGACCCTTATGGAGACCAAAAACACCAAGATCCATCTTCTAAACGATGCACAGATCCATTCTTGAATCTAGATCCATCCAATAATCAGATATTCCGCAATTCCAACATTAGCACACAAAAAGTCATTAATAATTCCAAGCATGAGCTGTGCTGCCACACAACATTCCAGCTGCCGATATTCCAAGAATGCTGACTCAGAATGCCACCAGCACTACCGATCATGTGTAGCATCACAATAGCAGTATACTCTGTCCTGTTAACACAAACATGTCTCTCTCAAAATTCCATCCAGTGACTCACAACCACGAGTCTGTAACACCCCTGCAGAGGATCAGTGGCCCAGTTCTCCAATTACTAACTGCATGCCTGCCTTCTGGTCCATTCCAGACAAGCTATGTTCCACACCACTATTTTCTGCTCATCTTCAATGTGAAACTGACCAAGCTTTCATTCACTTGTGGATCTTGATGTAACTAGATTTACAGTATCAGGCTTCCTCCCTAACTAACACAGCTTCCTCCCCAAAGTCACACAACTTCCTCTCAATCTTCCTCCAACTGACGATTGCATGAAACCAGGTCACCAACCTGTGCCAACAGCGCTGTCTATGCTGGAACACTGGCAGCACAGTCTGCCCAGATGACCCAAGTTATTTCTCAGCTTGTTGACATATTTACAGGATTTCCATCTGGGATGGATACTAAGACCACTGTCCACAGTTGCTTAACATAGACTAGATTTCAATGAAGTTTGTGATATCTAGACCCAATGTGCAGAGCTTACAGGGCTTGTGAGAATCATAAATATTTAAAAATTGCTATACGATACTTTAAAAAAAGTGTTTCCCTTCCTACAGCCCAATGCACTGACAACCCATTTCTATGTTTCAGGAAACTTACGATCTATATTTACGAAATAGTAAAACAAAAAGAACTGTCACATTAAAACAGGCTTTGTGTGAAAGCGTCTCAGTGAGAAACTGTACTAAGTAGTTTTAGTGGTAACTTCCTTGTCACAAAGCTGCAACAAACTCTATGTCCTGTTTGCAACAGTTTTGCAAGATTTTAGAAAAATAAACTTCCTTAAATAATGTATTCACCATATTAGTGAAGTCCATAAAACATCTCTGGTTACCTCCTAGACAAACATGTAATTAAACTTTTTACAGACTGCCTAACCTGACAATTTGCATGCTTGTCTGCATGAACCTGTGAAATTACAGATTCATTTTACAGAAAACAGATCAGTGAAGTAGATCTGGTTCTATAAGATCTACGTTTTCTTCATCACTTGTTCTGGAACACCAAATTTAATTTGTGCATGTTACAAGAGTTTCCGCCTTTCTTCAACATACAACACACAGAGTGCAGTAATACTGAAACTACACGGTTCCCATTCAGAACTCCATAATGAGTACTCCCTTCTGTATCTATAGTGTCGAAATAGAGGCTGGGTCTCTACGACACACCAAGTCTCCAACAGACACAAGATCAATATTCCTATGTCAAGGATTCTAAAAGACGAAATACAGTTGGCTTCATTCTGTTTCTGACACCCTGAACCATAATATTCCCTTCAATCTAGACTAATGCTTAGTCTCTGAATATATATTATTTAGATTGTAACAAATAAACCCATTTAAATTGAAAAGGAGTCCCAGGGAGACCAGAGAGGGCTTCATTTAGGGCTTTAGCACTGCAGGGACGGCTAGGCCGTAGGGGAAATAATATGGTTCAGAGACTGTGAGACAGACTAGGCTTTTGCACTGCAGGGACGGCTAGGCCGTAGGGGAAATAATATGGTGCAGAGACTGTGAGACAGACTACCTTCAACCCAACACTGCCTGTAATCTGGGCTTGATTTAAGCATTTCAAATTTGAACAGGGAGTGAGTGAGGTTTAGTTTCATGCTGCACTCAGCAATATTCCAGCTATATGGCGGTGGTCTGTAAATAATCGAGTCTGGACTAGACAACAGCATGAGCATCAATCTACGCAATTGGGAATCAATGACATGTGTCAACCAAGTCAGCGAACCTGACCACCCAATCCTGTTAGTCGCCTCTTACAACAAGCATGGGTTACTGAAGATCAGTTCTAACCCGCATCTTCACGGGTCAATTTGAACAGGGGCAACCTGAAACTACAAATTCAACGTCATATTTACACCAACTTGCACCCCGTGCATGTTAACATTTAGCTGTTCAAATAACACAGACTTCAGCTGGAAAACAGAATGATGAGGACCTGGCTTGGTGTACACTAACAACTAGTCTCGGAAATGAACATATTTTACAGAAAAAAAGTTCATAGGGAATAAAACTAAAACAAAATGAAATACTGTTCATAAATCAATTTGATATTGTAAGATGATATCTGTCCCAGGTAATGTAATGATATTCTCAAACGCAAGCATTACACATAATATGATATTGAGCAGCAGGTGCAGCCTGTTTTATTGTCTAGTGGGTTAGTGTGTGTGTGTGTGTGTGTGTGTGTGTGTGTGTGTGTGTGTGTGTGAGAGAGAGAGAGAGAGAGAGAGAGAGAGAGAGAGAGAGTGAGAAAGAGTGACAGAGAGTGAGTGAGTTAAAATTTAAAATCACATCGGCAATATTTCAGCCATATCGTGACTAAAACTAATTGATACTGCATACATATAATATATGAAACCCTGCCAACGAAGAGTGAGTGAGTGAGGAAGGTGAGTGAGTGAGTGAGTGAGTGAGTGAGGTTTTACACCCTTTTTAGCAATATTCCAGCAATATCACGGCAGGGGATTTTGTCTAGAGCAACAAATGAGGTGAGCTACACCTAGGTAATATTTAGTTCCAGAAATATAGCTGCTTTGTTTCAACATATATATCTATGAAATACAAAACAAAAATCCAAATGAATCCTAGTCTGTGTCGTACAGACTCTGAAACAAACATATCCAATGTACCCTCCAGAATAAGTGGCAAGTCTAGATTACCAGTTTCTGAAAATGAAGAAAGTTTTGAGCTCTTTTTTTATCATATTTTATGAATATAACTTAGGAATTGTTTTTTCTGAAAAATGTGTTCATGTCGGAGCCTAGATGTTAGACAACATTTATCCCAGAACAATGCTAATATCAGGTCAAAACGTCATTCTAGTGTTTGAATCATTTTTTATTGTATTCTCTAGGGTCTCAAACTCAGACAAAGATAAAACACCTCCATCTTGATTTACCCGCTACGGTTTCAAGTAACAAATGACCCTGAAACATATGTACCCAATACACCCTCTAGAATATATGGCTGATAGATTACCACAGTTTCTGAAAATGGAAAAAGGTTTTGAGCTCCTTTTCTATCATATTTTATGAATATAACTTAGGAATTGTTTTTTCTACAGTTTCAAGTAACAAATGACCTAACCCTGCGACTAAACTCTAAATATAATCCTCTACAGCTAGAGACTACTCTCCATGTATGCAGGAAGTAGATATTAACCAGTTCGTACAAACAACTGACCGGGAAGGGCTAGGTCACGTTGACCTGTAAGTTAGACTGTCATTAAGTTAAGATAACACTGTCGTTAAGTTAACACTTTTGTTTGTTTCTCACACACTGGGTTGGACATTTATGACTCCAGCTAATTTATGCAGTACAGAAATCTCAACCTGAAAACAAGATTTTCAAGCACTGTCCCATACTTACACAATGCACTGAATGAACAGGAAATCCTGATTATTTCAAAACAAATTAATGAAGTAAATTAAACATGTGCTTGATGTATACTGATGTTAATCAAACACATCCTGCACAATACCAGACATTCTAGACTTGCACAAGTCTCTAAATAAAAATCAATAGTTTAAATGCTAATTTCTAAAAAATAATAAATAACAGATTTGGGTCCTTACTGTCCGCTTTTCTGAACTTGTCTCTTGGAATGATAGGATTACTATACATCCATGGGCTCCACATTCAGTACAACCCGTGAAGATAGTCCTACCTTACCAAACAAACATTTTTTCTCTGATGTAGCTAAACCTAAAAAAACATCTGTTTTGAAGCTAATGAATAAACATTATTCCATATTATGTTCTCAAACATCTTGACTTGGAAGGACGTGAGGGTAGGACTAGACTGCACAAGTTTTAAGTCCAAAACTATTAATTAAACCAGAGTGAGTGAGTGAGTTTAGTTTAACGCCACACTCAGTAATATTCCAGCTATATGGTGGCGGTCTGTAAATAATCGAGTCTGGACCAGACAATCCAGTGATCAACAGCATGATCATCGATCTGAGCAATTGGGAACCAATGACATGTGTCAACCAAGCCAGCAAGCCAGACCACCTGATCCCGCTGGGTTACTGAAGATTCATTCTAACCCGGACCTTCACGGGTCAATTAAATCAGAAGTTCTATACAATATAAATGATATAAAAATGTTCTCCCTAGTAAAGACATATCCTTACTGTCCCTTATCCAGACCTGCCTATTGCAAGGATAGAATTTCTGAACATCTATGGACAAATTATTCAGGACAGCCATGGAGAAAGGCTTCGTAGTTTGGGATACACCAGGGTGCTATAAACAAAACAGTCACATTTAATTCCTACCTTGCCTCAATGTTTCCCAAAGGGATTTATCGCTGCCTTTATGTCAAGAGGGACATAAGCGTCTTACAGTGTTTTAGTTGCTATAGCAAATAGAGTGCTATAAAATGTTTGTGCATTATCATTATTATAAGCCTCATACTTACAAGGTTGGTTGGACCAATATATTTACAATAAATCAGGTTTACCATGAAATCTGAAAAATTGATATTCATAAATACACTTTAGATCAACTAATATTTTGCTTCTCTTCTGAAAAAAGAGACAAATTAACAGATATTGACATAACTAATATGAAACATGTTTGACCAAAGCGTAAAGAAACATTTAAGGGCAGCCTGTTGGATTATTCTCATCATCAAATTAGGCTAATAACCAAATATTACACACAACTACTAGTACCCTAACTATTCTGTATGACCACGCCAAGCTTGGAAGGAGTCCATGCTGGGATTATGGTTGAGGATGGAGCTCATTTCAGGATATATAAATACACTCCAGTAGAATTCTTTTCAGACTATATTTTGCCATGTCTAATACCAATGTTCACTGATGAATTTTAAGCTCAGATCAGAAACAATAAGTTATAAACTGTATGTAAAAAGAGAGAATTATTCTAACATGGAATTTGTCTTTCCTCCATCTAATTCCAGCCCTGCAACCATCACTTGTGTGTCTACAATCACTCATTTGCTATTATTTACAAGATGCGAGTCACAATGTTAATAATTATAGGGTTGTAAATCGACAGTCAGCCATCTTGAACTAGCTCTGTAACGAGGTCACTCATTAATCACTGTTGTTATGTCAGGTGAACTTGGATACATAAACCTTGGTCCAGAGATGAAAATCATATAAATATGCAACCGAAATTCTCCCTTCATCTTAATTAGCTTCTTCTTTCAGTCAAATCCCTCTCTCCATTTCTCTAAACCTACCTAACTAAATGGCCTGGTCTGGTGGACCTTTATGCAAAATGTTTGAAAATATGTAAAATCTCGAAGCCATCATCACTGTCATCACCAACAGTGTTCTCATACTCACAGAGCCATATTTACATCTG